ATATTTATTATTATTTTTTATAAACGTGCTTTTGAAAAAATATATTAAAATTGGGTGGACAAGTTAAAAAAACCTAGATCTTTTGTAATATACTAAAATATTTACAAAAAATATTAAAATACTTACTCTATCGACTGATGACATCAAGTTGTCCAACTTTTGTAGAATCACCCATATGCAATTACAAATATATTTCAAACTATACTTTTTCTACGTTTCCAAAATATGCTATTATAGCATTGCTATACATAAATAATTTAATTAAGAGAAAGTAAGGTTAAAAGTCTAAAAGTGATTAGATAATAAACATAGAGATGGCGTCACCAGTCTTTATTCCATCATCCGATGATAGAATAAATTAATTCTGTAACACTTTAAGGATTATATGTAATTGCACATTAAAAGTGGTGTTAGAACGGGGATATTCCGTAATAGAAGAAGGAAAAAGTGTTTTATATATAGTTAAAATTTACACTTTCGTGTATCCAGATATTTCCACTTAATAGAAAACTATCACTTTGCTTTACAATATACTATTTTTTGACTATCAGAAAATACATCTGTCAAGCCTTGCAAAGTTTTTTTAAGTTAAAAACTGAATAAATCAAGAAGTTATCGTCAGAAAATAAATTGAAATTTTAAAATAAGCATTGAAAAACGTGTATTCAATGAATACTATTCATAAACTGCAGATTTTAAAATATTAAAATTATTAAAAATTATATTTTTTAACTATTAATTTTTGTTAACTAAAATAATAACAAAATAAGTTTCTTTAAAACAAAGAAGGCGAAGATTGATTATAATTGATTTTTTTTCACTTTACCATTATTATTAAAAATAAAACATATACATTGGAAGATAATAATTATCAATATTGACGACCCTGATGTAAGGAGAGGATAAGTTGTTACTGTAAAAAGTTTTATCTTATAATTTTAGCAGGCGTGATATGGACTATGTTATTTTCGTAAGTAATATCATAAGGGCATCTAATTTTTCCAAAAAAAATCGAAAAAACACGTTGCTAAGTAATATTTTAACAAGAAGCATGAGTGCTGGGGGCAACAAAAATACGAGTCGAAGACGAGGATTTTTGCACCTACACGAATGCATTTTGTTAAAAAATATTACTTAGCATAGTGTTTTAACGATTTTTTTCACAGGAAAAATTAGATGCCCGAATGGTATTTGACAAGACTATTTCATGAGTAACAGTTATTCTGCATACACATAGCTTACAGAACATACTACCTATTATAATAGGTAGTACGTTTTGTAAGCTATGTGTATGCTTACATAATAAATATGTAGGTATACCAGGTCCTATTAATATATTAATATATTATATATATATATATTATATATTAATATATTAATTTGAAAACTGAAAAATAGGTAATTTTTTTAATCACAAAATACTACCCACTTAATTATTTATGGTACAATTAAAATATAAATTGCAATTTTTGGTGACAACAGCTGTCAAGTTTTGCCGCGGGTAAATTTTAAAAAACTGCTACAGGTCATACAGTATTTCCACCTAGAAACCATTTGTAATTCAAAATTGCGCGTTTGTGATTGGTGGAAATTAGGACGAGGGAAATAGTCACTGATATGTAGTTCTATTCCTAATAACTACAAATTAGTTTTGAGAATAACCGATTTATTTTAATAACAGACTATCGAGTATTCAAGTGATTTAAAAACCGGATTATCACTAGAATTATCGTTCGGCGTTGCTTCTTTACGTTCCGGTTTACCCAATTCATTAAAAAAGGCTTGCATAAACGTAATATTCAAGCGTATTACCATTTTTGGTAGTTTTTCAACATAATTTTGGTAGGCAAAAAATTATTATTAAATTTTTAATACAAGTACTAAAATTTTCAGTTTTTCCAAGTAGTAATTTATATATATATGTAATGCTAATTTCTATGAATTCAACTGTCAAATGCGCAGACTCCAACAAAATATATCCTGTATATTACAGATACCTGTACACAGTGGTCCTCGACTAGCCATGGGTTTTATGAAAATGGCGCCAAAAAATAGGTTCAGATATTAGTAGGCATGTATATCAAGGTTACAAAAACGCTGCAAGTCAAATCATAGCTGATCATAAAAATTTGTTTTTGTGATACTTTTATTTATGTTTACATTTGACCATTGTTTTAAATTAATTTCAATAATTGGCACATAATTGGAGGTCACAAAAGTTTACATATAGTAAATTTAAAAGTAAACTACGTACACGTCATCAATAAAACAAAAATTTTACGCATTGGTACCAACACTAAATGACTAAATCGAAGTCTGTAATTGAATATTTGAATGCATTTTAACCAAATTAAGTTGGCAACAATTGTGATGTTGTCATGTTTACATTCAAATTTTTCATATTTAAATGACACATAAAAAAGAATTTGACGTTTTAGAATTTCGAAGCTGTCAGTTGTGTTTTTGAATATTTCGTTTAATTCGTGTATTATTTCGTTTATTTTGTTTGTTGTTTGTGTTATTTTATATCGTTTAAGTTTTCATTGCCGTTTTTGTGTTTGTTATATATCGTTGTTTTGTGTTTCCTATATTTAAAATGCCGAAGCATTTAAATAGTCGGAGTCAAGAGTTGGTGTCATCCTTAATACGCTATTTTGAGGCAGAACGGGATAATAATGAACCTTTGTTACCTTTAACAGCTGTTAGAGAGGTAAATAGGATTATTATTAATTATATATTAGAATATTTAACAAAATATATGTTGGATACATGAAATAATAATATATATACCAGAGACTGACTTTAGATGGCAAAATTTTTGGGTTTTATATCAGAAAATGTCTTTAAAAATGGCTAAAAACATACTTTTTGCGGTGCATCATATAGGTTATAAAAACCCAGACTTTTGACATTTTGATATTATTCATGTAAACGCCATCTATCGCCCTGTAGTTGCACTACCACTTTCCCTTGATGCAAGGATTTTAGCATCACATTGACAACCGTGCCCGATCAGCTGATTGATGACGTGTACGTAGTTTACTTTTAAATTTACTATATACGTTCATTGATAAGTTGGCACTGAAATATTTGATTAACTTGTCAGTTGTCAGCCTAGGTTTGGTCTAGGGTTGTCAGTTACTGTTTGCCTTAAAACACAAATCTAATAATTTTTGTCGGTTTTATTTTTACTTTTATGATAAAATGAACCCTATTGAAATAGACCTATCCCATAAAACAGACTTTTGGATAGCGCGTGCCTGAAGAAGAGTGGTATCTCTTTCTCTTTTATATAATTAAAAAAAGACGACGTGCCTTTTCACGCACGCGCTATCCAAAAGTCCGTTTTATGGAATAGGTCTATTGTAAGCAACCATGAGCATAACAGCATGTGGGTAGAAAATTATTATGGGTAATACAAAATCGTGGAAATTTTTAATTACAGAATCCTAAGTTCCCAATTTCAATTTCCATCTGCAATACTTGTCGCCATGGAATCCCAAAATTTAAAAGCCAATTATTATGTAAAATTGTCCCCTGAATCCGAAAATACCGTCAAAAATTATGAAAGTTTAGCAGGTTTTGAGATATAGTCAATTCCATATTAAATGGAAAATTGACTATATCTCAAAAACTGTTCTACTCTCCAAATAACTAAATTAGTCATTTTTGACTAATTCATTTTTAGAGAGCTGGGCTTTCAAAGTCTCTTAAATTGCACGTCATTTTGGAACATCTCAATCTTTGCAGTTTCTTCAAGAAGGTAAACTTGGTTTATGGTCAGAGCAAGCAGGAGAATCTATTCATAGAGAGTTTGTCAAGTACTGGAACCGATATAAAATAAATCTCTTACAAGATCCTTGCTATCAAATCCAGTTAAAAAAAGCTGTTGTTGAGTTCTCCTCTAGACATTTGTAACAAATATTGACTATATGTGAATTTGTTTTGGTCAATAACCTTTTTTCACTGTAAAAATAAAAAGTACTTTTTTAAAATTGTAGGAATCTAAAGGCTATGTAAAAATGCGAAATTGTTACATCCATAAAATAAGTTAATGATCAGCTACGATTTTACTTGATGAATTTTTGCAATGCTTATAGATATACCTATCAAAATCCGAACTCATTTTTTGGCGCCATTTTCATATAACCCATGGCTAGTCGAGGACCACTGTGTGTATTTACCACGGCTTTCAGGCTTTTTCCAACCAGGTTAGTATTAAAAATATATGGCCACACTGCGCAAATAACCGGTTATTCATCACTTGAATCCGAAAGTCAACCGTCAGGTTATTTCAATAACTCGGTAATAGGTTATTTTTCACTCGAGTTATCCCAACACTACTACAAATATCGAATTTATTACACCAGACGAAAAGTGCATGCATTAGAACCTATTTCTGCAATTATCTCCTATTCCTATTCTTACATCAGGGCCGTTACTTATTATTTAATTGGCAAAATGTGTAATACGTATTAGTAACTAATAGGTACTAATTAAACAGTACTATAGTAGTAACTGGTAGTAGTATTTGTTATTTATGTTTAAAATCCCAGTATTAACTCTTCACATACATTTTACACTTTTCTTTTAACCATTTATTACCTGTCTTACCTTTTTGTTTATTTTTATGGAAACGTTTTCAATTTTTTATAACCTGAAATTACGTCTAAACAGAAGTCTATAAGTTTTACTACAAGTACAAGTACAAGCATGAAAACGCAGTAGTAAAATAATTTTATATACTTATTAAACATGTTTAATAAAACTAGCTCCACCATCCTCGCCTTTTCTGTACTCATTACTTCAAAATGGGAATTTTAGAAGAGAATTTTGCATGGTTTATTTGGGTCAATTGCCCTATTCAAAAATATAAATAAACTCATGGCTCTACCTTAAAATTTTAATTAAAAAGGTTATTTTAAATAGGTCGTTTTGTTACGAGGCCTGAGAAATTGTTGTTTTTTCTAAATAATGAATTGACTAATTTTCTCTTGCAGCCAACTCCAGTCAGTACGCTCATTACGTGTTCAATACACTGGATCAGGACCACAGCGGACTAATTAGTTTTGAAGTGAGTAAATAATTATTTACATTTTAAATAAATCATTTATCCTGTTAAAACTTTTTAATTGGCACACAAAACTTAATGAATTATTTAGAGATAGTAATTTTATTTGTAAATTTTTAGTGGTACATACAGTATTATATTATTATATTTGTGGAGCAACTAGACAAAAGCAGATAAATCCGTTTTATTCTGCAACATTTACACAAAGAACATGCATTTCATAAAGTATACTTTTATAATAATAATAATATGACTTTATTGCATCAACATTTACCTAAAAGTAAATACATTGGTAAACTGCAAAAGGCGAAGTTCAGTATGCCACTTGTTCAATAAACTACTAAGTTTATAAGACATGAAAACTCATTTTTTATTTTTTGTCCACCTTCATCTTGTGTTGCATCGGCGATAGATTTAATCATTTACATTAAATTTAATTGTTTAAAATAAAATATTGTATCTATTGTTTTATGTAACAAATACAATTTTTTTAGTTTTAAATCGATAAAGCATGTGAACATCTGGAAAGGGCGTTTCAAAAAGGAAATATTTCTAACGGAATAATTTATGTCTGGACATTAAAACAAATATATTATAAGAGTTACATGTACCAGTTCGCCTTCTATTTCAAAAAATAAATTACGATTCGTGTCATATGAAAGCAAAAAGTTTTCCCAAATATGTCATATTGTTTTATGTTCAAACGTACGAGTGTGATTTTCGTAATAGCTTTAGAAAGCACGGGTATGTATGAAGTTTAAATGTTATTTATTTAATTAAAACATTAAAACTTAAAAGTTAACAAACTTTATACATTTTATTTTTAATTGACGGTAGAATATAAGTACACAAGTTTTAAAGTCAAATTAATGGAAGGTAATACGTCTCAGGATGAATTTTGCAGTGTATGTCTAATATGTTTTTATTTAGTAAAAAATACTGTAAAAGTTTGCTGTAAGTTTAACGAGATAAGCAAATTTTGTACACCAATCTCATCACTTCTTGAAACAGATAAACTTTAGAAAGACGCAAAACAGTATACATAAAAAGAATTGCTAAGCAGACAATATCGATTTCTATTATAGGGAAAAGTTCTGGAGATAATTGTTTACGGGTTGGAAATATTGTTTTTGCTGTACATTATATTAAATACTAAATATGTGTAAGCATTGCCTTTTGATACGAATTAATTGACGTATTCAAAAATATATGATATTTGATAAATTACATTAATTAATAATTCAGTAAATACGAATATATGTATATAGTTACTTAGATCGTTTGAATTAACTATTTTTGCTTTATATTAAATAATAATTTTAATTAAAATATGCAATTAAGTCAATAAAATAGCCTTTTGGTGATTAAATTCCGTCCTAATTTGGCCCCATTTTTTTAGAATCTCTTTATAATAGTACCTATATTATGTATCAAGTTTGATAAACCCCATTTTATACACGAATTAGAATAGAAAAGTTTATAAACGAGGTGTATACTATACTTTTTCTACGACAAATACTTACAAATTATTATCTTAAAATGATTTAAATCAAAAATTTGTATAGGGCGCCATCTATGAAACAATAGGGGAATCTGTGTGTCACCGTCAAATGTCAAATTTTTATATTTTATAAACACAGATTATAAAGGTTATAAATCGAAATGTATTTCTTGAAAATTGACAGTTTTTTACAGTGAAAGTAAAGAAAATGGTTTATGAGCACTTTACAGTGGTGTCCGAATTTAAGTTATAGTTTACTGCCGGCGAAATTAAAAGGTCAGTACAATGTTCATATAAACTTTTCAAATATTGGCGTTGAGAAACTATTTAATACTTTTGTATAAAATTTTTGTATTGATATAATAAAATAATTTTCACATTTTGTATTATTTTACAACAAAGGCACTTTATTTTAACGATTGTATGACATTTGACAACTGTCAACTAACTTAAAACTAACTTCAGCCCGTGACTAAAAACCTGTTGCTAACTTCAGCCCGTGACTAAAGCGCCATAAAGCCACAACTTGTCAATGTGTATTTAAAAGGTCACTTAGTGTCATGGAAACATGTACGATAAAGGGCGTTTAGAGACTTAGAGAATAAATCAAGTGTAACATTTGTGTAATTCGCTTCTGGTCAACCATTTTTTTTTACAATTCTAATTTATTTTAAAATTGTGCATTTTTATACCTATTTTAATTGAAGCAGACGGTGATGTAATTTTTTTTTAATATACAGGGTCGTTTCTACTTGAGGGAGCAAGGTGTACAGTGCACATGATCCCTCTGCTGGAGGCGAGAAATTTTAAACAAAAGTTGTTAAATAAAAATGTTACGTATTAATATAATGATAATATATGAAATCAAACATGAGGCTTGTCGAGTTTAACCCCAAACCAAACCAATAGATGACTCTCTTAAAGAGTATATAGTTTGGAGCCAAATGAAGCGCCCTCTCTAAACTTGGTTAAAATTTAAATTACGTGTTTACAGACAACTGTTGCCAACATAGCTTTTAATTGGTGGAAAATTGGTTACTTCAATGGCGCTATATTTAAAATCTAACTTGTGGCTAGATTTTAAATGTAATTAGTAACGAAAACAATAACTTTGTTTTCTACCATGTATTTAAGGTACTTTTGTGGTTATGCTGTTTAGTAATTCTCAAGCAACTTTTATAAACTAAAGAAATTCGCAGATTTATTGAAAAGCAATGAGGAAAACAAATGTATGTAAATGTAAAACAAGTGTATTTAGTATTCATTTGTAAAATCTGTGATTTTTTTAATTTGTAAAACTCGTTGAATCATTATCATACTTATTCCCAAAAGTACCTTTCATATATGGTAAGAAACATTATTTTTGTTATTTATGATAGTCTACCAAAAGTAACTGTCTCATTGATCATTATATTGAAATTGAAGAATACAGTTAAATCCATAAATTGTATTAAACAATACATACCTACCATCTGAAAGATTATGATTCGGTCAAGGTGTCATTTATAAATTATTATTATAATACAAACCTTAGAAACAATACACAATAAAAACACACGAATACACAAAATCATTCAAAAATGCGATAACTACGGATTAAAAAATTGAACGTCAAAAAGGTCAAAAGCGTCAAAAAATTATAAAATCCGCGCCCTCTCTTGGCTTGGCTAAATATTATAATACATACTGTCCCGACATCCGACATAAGATATTTATCTATGAGTCAAGCCAGGTCAAGTGTGACCAGAAAATTTCACGAAATCACCGATTTTGAAAATAATCACATTATTGTGTAGTAGGCATGACTCATATGTCACAGTAAAAAAATTGTTTTAAAATTCGTTTTTTTTGGTAATGTTATTAAGGTTGACAATTTTGTCAAACTTTAGAGCACGGTAAAATTGAAAAAATTGAATCTCTGGGACCACTCTGTATAATTGAATTAAATTTTACACACTATTGTAGAAATGTTTAGACTATATAATGATCATTTAATTAAGGTTAATTTGTTTAAATAAAAGAATTTTGCATACATTTATTATAAACAATTGAAATTTTGTATGTGTTCTTTACGCTGAAGAAAAATTAATCTTGTGTCATAATATGCGGCAAACGTTCCCGTTTAATAAAATGTATTCAAAAATTTGTCCTTCATATGTCATTCCGGAGATATTACATTTTTTGTCCCGCTGTGCGCTTGATCAGTACGCGGCGCGCTTCGTTGCTAGCTCGTCCATTCTAACGTTTTAACGGTGTGCCTGAAGGAAGTTTAAATCACATAAAAATGCCGCCAAAAACTGATTGCAGTTTCTTGTTCGGGACCCTTTGGTGACTTAAAAATGATATTTACCAAAGGTCCCATACTGTTCAAAATTTCATGACCATTTTAACACCAAATCAACACCATACATGGTCTATATCGATCCAAACCAAAATGGTGTTAAATGTGGTTCGTTGGTCCGGTGTTAATTCAAATACTAAAATAGTGTTAATTTAACTTTCACACAGTATTAAAATAAATTTTACCTGGTGTTAATTGAACTCCTTTTCAGTGTTAAATATTATGTGTTTGTGGTCAAATTAAATCATACTACGCAGAAAAAAGGAAATAAAAAGGAAACAGGAAGTTCCTTGGCGCAGTACTAGTATATTACAGAAAGTGGAACCTTCAACTCGCTAGAGATAATGTTTTTAGTGCGTTCCACTAACTTAAAATACTTCAAGTATTGACAGCTGTTTCCAACTATTTAAGGTCTCTTTAGTATCGAACAACTTGTAGTGTCACACCAAAGCAAAGGACTACCTGAGCTTATATATTCTTCATGTAAGTCAACAGAGGCGAGATTTAAGAACATCACGTGATTCACTCCGCCTTTGCACTTCTCAAATATTTTTACATAAACACCGTTTTGGTGTTTGCTGTATATTACATTTTCAATTATAAATCATGGTGTTATATTAACACCACTTGGTGTTTGATTTTGACACAATTTTAAGATTACTCTTTACACCGCAGATATTTTAAACAGTGCAATTAATGGCCATTGATCATTTTTGCATTGCCATTTTTTTTAAATCATTTTAATTTTTATAAATTTTAGGCCGCCACTGCTTTTTCCTGACATATGCCAACTGACGTAAAATATGCTTGCCAAGTGGGCAAATACCTTCATTAAAAATTTACATTTGTGTTATCATTGATTACTTTGTTGATAATTGTTTTTTGTTTTGCATAATAAACTATTTTTAGGTACTTTCAATAAAACAATACTTACTTTTTATTGTTAGGAATCTCGAGGTTTCCGTGGTTTTTCCGTCGATTCACGAAATTCGAAATTTCACCTTTCACTTTTTACGAATCATAATAAATATTCAACTATCGGACGATTTCGGATTTCATCTGCCGCATGTAGCCCCAAAGAAACCACAAAAACAACCGATTTTAAATTAGTTTAAAAGTTTGATATTACATAATACCTACACTGTGCGCATACCTGTTTAT